TGAATTGTAACATTAGCTTCTTCAGTATTGTAAAAAATCCTCTTGAATTTTTATTGGAATTGCATCGTTTATGGATTAATTTTGGGAGAATTGACATCTTTAGGATTCCATAACGATTATGTTATTATTTTTAGTAATGTTGCTTTTAAAATTATGTTTTCTGAGTTGTTGTTGCTGGTATATAGGAATGCAATCTTTTTTTGTGTATCAATCCTGCATTCAGAAAACTTGTTGCACTGTTTTATTAACCTTGTCTATAGATCGTCCAAGAGAGGCAGCAAAGTGTGATGGTAAACAGCCAGACAGCCCCTTCTACTTTCTTTAACTTGATTCTGCTGCCCTTTATCTAACATCTTAAACTAAATACTTAGCTCATTAAGTAGTCTTTATTCCTTTTCAATGCCAGCATCTGAAAAAGATCAATGCCTCTCTAATTACTTTATCTAGTGTGTTGAGGGACCCAATGCCGCCACCATATTCAATAATGAGCTAGAAGGACTCACAGAACTTAGACAAGCTGTTCTATTCATGGTTATGATTTATTACGATGAAAGGCTGTAGAATACATTCGGAAGAAAAAAGGCAGATAGGGCAGAGTCCAGGCAGAACCAGGCACAGCTTCCAGTTATCCTCTCCCTGTGGAGTTATATGAACAGAACTTAATTCTCCCAGCAATAATGTGTGACAATATGGACGAAGAATTGTCAACCAGGGATGCTCACACAAACTTTTATGTCCAAGATCAGCTACATAGGCATGAAGCCCCCACACTATTGACCCTAAATACTCAGTCTCCAACCCATTCCTCCCTACGGAAGTCAAACTCATACAATATGACCCACGGCTCCAGGCAAGCAAAAACAGGTGCTCACCATAAATTACATTATTAACACAAACTCTGGCATTGCCCAAGGCCTGAGGTATACAAAGACACTCTTATCAGGCAGGATATTTCAAGAGCTAATAGTTAGTCAAGAGTCAGTCTTTTCTTGGAGGCATGCAATCCCATAGCTGCTGAGTCAACCCTTTACTATTCACTTATATTTTATGAGTTCAATTTGTAGTCCTATTGTTAATTTTGTTTATTTTGAAGTCTATAAAGTATATTTTTTACCTTTTAAAAAATATAAATGATAGATACTATATATTATACACCGCCTACACGTTGTTTTTGTCACTTGAAATTGTTCCGTATTTGTTTAAAAAAATGTTTTTTATTCTTTTGGATGACTGCATTTTATTTACCAATTTTCTATTGATAGATATTAGGATTTTTTGGTCCAATTTTTTGCTATTCAAAATGAGATTAATAATTCGTGTGTGTGTGTGTGTGTAATTTTACTTACGTTCTAATATATTTGTAAGATATATTCCCAAAGTAAAATTATTGGATTAAATGATATACTCAGATGCTATATTCATCTGTAATATTAATAGATCCTGCATTTCAGTAAACTGTTGCCCAGAAAGATTTCACCTACTTTTATTCACTAGCAACCTAAGAAAGTACTTGCTTCCCCATACTCTTCCCAACTGACTGTATTTTAAAATATTTTTATAATACCTGGTGTACGGGTGTACTCCAGTACTACAGAAATAATATATTTGTAGCTTTTATTTTTATTCTATTCATCATGAGTAAGGTTTAGCATCTTTTCACGTTTGAGTCCCTTTTTTTTTTTTTTTTTGAGACAGAGTCTGGTCTCCTATCACCCTAGCTGGCAGGCTTGGCGTGCATTGAGGTGATCTGCTCACTGCAACCTCTGCTCCGGTTTTAATCATTCTCCCTGCCCAGCCTCCCGAGTAGCTGGGACTGACTAGGCCTGGCCACCCGGGCCCGCCCCAGCTACTGTTTGTATTTTTTAGTAAGAACAGGGTTGTGCCATGTTGTCAGGGCTGCTTCAAACTCCTCAAGTCTCCAAAGTGCTGGGATTAACAGGCATAGGCACCGCACCTAGCCTTGAGTCACTTTTCTTTCTTTTCAATGAACTGTTTTATATACTTTTGTCCATGTTTCTGTTGGCTTGTTCATCTTTTCCTTATTGATCTGAAAGAGCTCTTTTACACTGGTGATGTTAGCTGTCTATATGCATTATGAATTGGAAATATTTTTCCCAATTTGTTGTCTAACTTTTTATTTGTTGTGGATTTTGCCACATATTTTTAAACAATTTAATTCATCAGTCTTCTATTTTTAGGAAGTCTTTTGCTATATTGTGCTTTTTAAAAACTGTAAAGTTATGAAAATTATTCTTAATGTTTCTTTGACTCATTTTATTGTTTTATTTTAACATTTAAATCTTTTGGGCCTGGCACAATGGCTCACACCTGCAATCCTAATGCTTTGAGAGGCCGAGATTGGAGGATCACCTGATTCCAGTTGTTCGAGACCAGCCTGGGCAACAGAGTGAGACCCAGTTTCTACCAAAAAAAAAAAAAAAAACCTAAGAATTCACCAGGTATGGTGACGCACACCTGTAGTCCCAGCTACTCAGGAGACTGAGGAGAGAGGATCACTTGAGTCTAGGAGTTCAAGACTGTAGTGTGTCTCTGGACTCCAGCAGCCTGGATGACAAAGCAAGACCCTGTCTCTTAAAAAAATAGTAATAATCTTTTGTTCGTCTGAAATATATCTTGGTGTAAGATATAAAGTAGAGCTAAACTAATTTTTGTTCCAAATGACTGCTCATTTATCCCAACACCATTTGTTGAATTTTCTATTTATCACTAATTTGAAAAGCCACCTTTATCATTGTGTAAAGAGCCTCATGTATTAGGATCGATTTATAGACATTCAGTTCTGTTTCATTGATCAGTCTATTTAATCACACTTTTTTTTTTTTTTTTTTTTTGAGACAGAGTCTCACTCTGTCACCCAGACTGGAATACAGTGGTGCGATCTCAGCTCAAGTGATTGTCCTGCCTCAGCCTCTTGAGTAGCTGGGATTACAGACACATGCCACCACACTCAACTAATTTTTGTATTTTTAGTAGAGACAGGGTTTCACCGTAGTGTTCAGACTGGCGAAATCCTGACCTCGTGATCTACCTGCCTCAGCCTCCCAAAGTGCTGGGATTACAGGCGTGAGACACCGCGTCCTGCCTTAATCACACTTTTTATGATGTGGAGAGGTAGGCGATAAAGGCCAGCATTGACCTCTTTGAGGTGTAACATTTTGGTTGAGGTGTAAGAAAACATACAGAAAAGTGCACAAATCACAAGTATAAAGTTCAATGAGCATTCACAGTGTGAATATACAGTACAGTATATACTCAGTACTCATAACCAGTACTCAGACCAAAGAGCAAAACATTACCAGTACCTAGAAGCCTCCTTCCAGTTACCACCCTCCTGAGGCTAACCACTGCCTGACTGACTTCTGATTTCTAATAGGATAATTCATCATGCCAGTTTGGAAATTTAGGAGTTGAATTATTCAGTATACTCTTCTGTACCTTCTTTCACTCAATATTACGCTCATGAGATTCAACCACTTTGATGCATATAGTTTTAGTTCGTTCAAACTCATTGCTGTAGAGTTTCCCACTGTATAAATGGAAGACATTGTATTTATTCATTCTACTGTTAATGAACATTTGGGAATTATTGATTTTTTGCTATTAAGAATAGTGCTTATATGAACATTTATACATATCGTTTCATGAGCTTGTGTTCCTGCTTCTATTGGATGTAGAGTTAGGAGTGGAATTACTGGACCAGAGGGTATACATATGTTCAGCCTAAATAACAAACAGTTCTTCCAAAGTGATCGTGCCATTGTCAGAGTTTCCAGTACTCCACATCCCGGCTTACACTTGGTATCTGTAGCAGAAGCTGTTGGTGGCCATCCATTTGCACTCAAGCTTCCCTATTTCACTTC